TTGACCTACGTGATGATCTCCACATTTTAGTGGAAATAATTTTTGTAACCCAAGAGTTATTAACATTCATTGCAGAGTATAGTGTTATTAAACAACCATCCAGATCAATTTTGTAATTAGAGAGTGTTGAAAACCGAGGTTGTTTACTAACATAACTTACAATGGAAACCGGTGTGATGTTTTAACATAGCACATAGACATAGAAATGCAGTCTACACAGTTTTATAGCCCTCAGATGTTGTAAATTTTTTGAAGTAAAATGCTATCTTTGGATTCTAGATACATAAAGCTTCACATTAAGGCTAAGCAGTTTCACAGTAACATTAAAAAAATGCTGAATTCTTTGGCACCAAAAAGACTTTGATTAAAAAATATTCAAAATGGTTGAAAGTGAAGCAGGTTAGAAGTGTAAAACTACTGTATTTTTATACAATCATTTCTGTGACATTTCAATTATTTTTTTCTTGGGTGAAAACTTCTAGCAGTATATCTTCCTGGTTTCTTATCTGTCTTCCCTGTGAGGGACCGTTAGTTGATTTTAACTATCAATGTTAACTAAAAGTATTTTTGCAAAATTACACTAATGTATTTTTCTTCTTTTCAGTTACTGTTTGAAATAGTGAGTTTACAAAATATTAAATTTTCCCGTTACATTCATAGCACTGTGATAAAACAAAAAAGCTGAGTCACCCATTCCATAAAATACTAAAATAAAGCAGCATACACAATGGTGATTAATCTTCAAGCAGTAAACATTACACTAAAACCTGTGAAATGTTATTCATTATCTTTATGACTGTTCTTATAGATGCAATCTATAAAAACTTCCATCTTCGATAGTAATTGGTTCCTCAGAATTCTATTAAAATGCCATTATTGCAAGCAGTGCTGCCTAAAACATGTTCTATAGATTTGCCACCACTGCTGAGCCAACTGGTGAAATTATTAGCATTCTAAGTGATGAAGGCCACTGAGTATTGATAGAGTTCAATATTTAACAGTATTTAATGTTTACTAAATCTGATCAAGTTATGAGCATAGGAAAAAAATTTGAAATTTGAACACATAAGAGATATTAAGTACTTCTGCTAAAATTGCTGTTACGGGTTTACAGTACAAAGTTTACCCAGCTTCCACAAACTGTTCACGTCCCACCACTAAGCATCCGTGCATTTACAGTGCTGCAGGTTTGTCAGGGATGATCACAGGGTCACTATCTATGAACATTTCTTCCATTGCAAGAATACCAGAAAGGAAAAAGACTATGTAATTTAAATCTTAGGGAATGTTTTCAGTCAACGAGTCTCTTAAAGAACAAAGCATCTCCAAGCTGTAACCCTTCTATACAAAGAGTTACCCTCTTTCAACTCTTCAAGTAACACCAGGTGTGTGTTGAAAAAATACCAAACTATTAAAATGTTGCGCAGAGAACTGTAAACTGGAAAAGTTAAGTAAAACATATTTAGACAAGCAAGAAATACTTTGCAAGAAAGAAAAGAATGATGTTTTTAAGAAGTGATTATTTTAGGGACTTGGTATTTTACCCCATATGCCTTGCATTATTTTGCATAGAAGGTTTTCACTGTTGTAATTAAGCTGGCATAGATTTAACATCAGCTATATTTTCTGGCAGTTTGGGGAAGCTGAATCATTTTTACAAACTTTTCCTTCTGTGATTTTAATTGCTGTATTTCTATCTGAACTGCAGATAAAGTTGTGACAGAAAAACTGGTGCCACAAATTATCTCTGTTGGGAAGAAAAAGGGTGAAAAAGTTGAGAAGAATGCTAGAACAATGAAAAGGAGAGTATCTGCTGTCAATCAGACACTCTGGTGGAAAACAGTTTTGCTTCACTACCAACAAAGTGTGGTTGAAACCCTGTTTGTTTGGAGAAAGTCACACTCAGATCTGTCTTCTAGTTCTGAAGGTAAGCTTCCTGCATCTTTTAGCATAGCAAAGCTTCAGTTTCTAGCTCCCTGGGATGCAGCAATCACCATTAGGTTGATATGAACCACTGCTTTCAAATTTTTAAGTCACTTTCTCTTTCTTTGCCAGGGAAGCGGACAGTACCCCTTGGGGGATGTGGGATGGGAGAGTAAGGAAGACTTCAAAGTCTCTCTTTGTAAATAGGGAGTATTAACAGTAGCAAACAAACAAATAAAAAAAAAAGCCCAACCTTTTTGGTTTTCTAAATGCCAGCAACTGCAGGAAGCAGGAGCGTACTTCATAGCCTGCAAGAGCAGTCTTTTCTCACCTGTCCTAAGACTTACGTGAAGTACTCTGGTGGAACAATGGAAAATTAGGTATCATTGGTCTGTTTACCTAAAATATTTAAGCTGATACATTTTCCTTGGATTTCTACTGTGGGAATTAACAGTGTATGCAGGAGTTTGGCCTGACTAGGACTGAAAAAAAACCCAATAAATTCCCACTTTCCTGTAAATTCTTTTCTTCATCATCCCTGTGCAGAATGGTATCTCAGTAGATCACTATAAAGATGCAGGATTGCATTTCAACATATATTGCTTTAAAGCCTCCATCTCACTCTTTTTTATGTTTGATATCATCACTGTCCCTCTTCGGGCCTTACAAAGCGATTCATTTACCTTTGCTTGCTGTTCCCCCATAATAAAACCCAGAGCACTGAACCCACAAAGAAACTGGAAGATAAACCAAAGGAACTTCTAGTATTTTTGAGTCATACCCATGTGGCTCACACAATTAAATCAAGAAATCCAGAAGAAGAAAGAATTGCCATGCTTTTCCTCTTGACAATCTATCAAGAAAACATACTGGCCAAATATGTCACAAGCACACCTATCACCACTCAGAAGACTGCTGCTTCCACAAGGGGACATTATCAAGCACTAATCTGATAGAATTTGCTAAATTCTGTTATACTGCCACAGTGAAACATCTTCTTTGTTGTACAGGTGAACAGATTTTGAAGCAATTCACCAAGTCTTTTATAAACTACATAGCACTATAAATTTAACACTAAAATTTAGCCAGCCTCTTGGAAAAACAGAAACAGGTGAAGAACCCGCTCATCTACTTACACTATTTGTCAAATTGGTATCTTGTAAAAGGACGAATAGGATTTAATCCAAATAGCAGCTAATACCTGAAAAAACATTCTCACCACATTCAATTTGTATTCCCGTACACTACTTAAGACCTCAACTCCTCATGTAGCACATAGCTATCTTTACAAACGTGTGAAACAAGTAGTTTTGGGACTGATGGAAGGGCAGAGAAAACCAGTTTATTTAAATTCAAAGAAAGACGGTAACACATTAAAGCAACTACTTTCACTAAATGGTCACTGGTATTTGTCCAAATGTTTAAAAAGTTCTCACAGAAAGTATCTGGGTAGGACTCAGATGACTTTGTCACTAGTTCATTAAGAACTATCATAAAATGTGTTCAATAACTCAATTCAATAAATAGCACGAGCTGTTGGTAATGTGATGAAACACTGTGGGTGCGAGCCATAGTTACCCGAGAAGTATAGTTAATCCTTTCAGCCACACACCCTGAAATACAGTGGTGTCAGAACCATAATTTGTTTCCTTCTCCCACCCCAACTAATGGGATTTTTTAAAGATAGACTTTGTACCTACAGACAGTATATGTTCAGGTCAAATAATGAATAATTCCTAAGGGGCTTCATTTAGTTTTGCCTCTAATGATACTATGAGAAATACAAATAAATCTTGATTTAAGAATTCTGAGTTACGTCAGCCCACGGTGAACTGACTGCTATGCTCAGCACCTCCAAAACATCAACTAACAGTTTCTCTTTCCTTCCACCTTCTCAAAAGCTCAAGAAAACTAACACACTCAGTGGCTGCCAGCCTTTCCTATGTTCTCTCCATACCACAATTCCTCCTTTTAGAGGTGTCTTCAGAGCAGTTTCTGCTAGGGAGCTGTGGCAGCAGGGCTCCAAGGAAGCTGCAAGACCAAGAAGAGCTGGGGAAGCCAGGACCTCCAGGGCTTGGCGCTAAACAGCCTCTGTACACACAGAGGCTGAAACACCCACACTCCTCAGCCCCAGGGAAACCAGAGTAATCTCCATGAGGGGAACCTCACTCAAAAATTGTCCTTTCCTCTGGACTTTCTGCTTTTCCTTTCCTGCCTTTTTTTTTTTTTTTTCATGCAAGAATGAAAGACAAAGCATACAGATTTGGTAAAACGCTCTGAATGGTCTCTAACAGCTGGTCAGAGTGATGACACCGAGTTATATGAACACCCAACATGACTCCAAAGGTCCAATGCCTGGAAGGTACCACAGGCCTGCAAGGAGCACGTGGTATAGAATAAGCAACGTTTGGAATTACAGTCTTGAAATGCACTTGTCTCCAAAATGGTCCCTTGTTCTTCCCACTGCAGTTTTTCCTTCATCTGCCGATCTGGGGAAGACGGCTCACCCCTCTCCTGGTCAGCCTGCCCAGGGACCGACCCTGTCCATTTTGCAGAAGCACACAGTTCTCTGGGGCAGGACCTCGTGTCTCTCGTGCATCTTCCCAAGCCACTGCAGAACCTTCCTTGGGAGATGAAGGCAGATGTATACAAGACAGCCCGCAGTGTCTCTATAGTGATTTTCTGTTATTCATATAATGACACTTTTATTGTAAAAGTGGCCCATTTCCTGCCTTTGATGGACACCATTAGATATCCTTAGATAATTGTAGGTAATCACCACTTATCTTAATATGGTTATGCAATAACTGTGATTGAAGTGACAGTCAGACTGGCCAACACTTAGGTTCCTTCTTGACCCAAATATTGGAATTTTTCATACATACACCCTCAATGATAGATCAGTCATTTTTTCTATCGTTGCTCTTAAGTAAATAAACCCCATGAAAGTCAAACTGTAATTTCAAATTGCAAGTAAACTTAACTCCAAGAAGTTTTATTAATAGCACTGTGGAAATCAGACTGCTTACAGGTGCCTTTAAATTGATGACAATAATTCTACATTTTAAATAAAACAGGAGGCAAACTTTTCACTGAAAGCCGCCATTCAGAGCATGAGTTTAACACACTCTAATTTATGCACACTGACTTCACCCTTAATTGATCAGCCTTTCACAGGGTGCGGTTTCATGTCACACCTAATCAGACCTGATTGCAGGCTACTGCTGAAAGGGGAGGTCCTGTCCCCTCCTCCTCCCTCCTCCCCTTGCTCTAGCATTGAGCAGCTGCAGAAGGAGTCACATCAGCTTCCTGATCCGACAAAAAAATACAGATATTTTTGGTTGGTCAGCAATCCAGACCATTCAATGAGCTGATCCAAAGGATCCAAATCATTCTGCGCCCACACAATTGCTTCATGTCATACACAGGAGACACAAAGCTGGAATGGAGGGAGAAACGCCTGAACCATGCCCTTCAGCAGCAGCCTGCAGCTGAATTGGGAAAGTATACATTAAACCGCTTCCTAAGGCCGTATGTCCCTGGCAGCCGAAATCACCACAATTCCCATTGACCCCCTCACAGCTACACTTCCTGCCGCTCTTGCTTATCAGACTCTTCTCTGAGATGACCCTATACACCTAGTTCATGGAAAATTAACCCAATCAAAACCAAAAGTCTTCCCTTCCCCTTTTTTGCCCATTCCTCCTCCTCCTCTGCCCTGGTTCACATCTGTTCACACGGTAAGGTCATGCACCCACCTTACCCAGCAAAAAGCCATTACTTTTGTTGTCAGGATTAATTTTCTGCTGTTTGGAGCACAGAGTTAGCCCCAGGCACAGGTTTTCAAGACCAACAGAGAAATAGAAAAGGCGACAGTGAGCAGCTGTTCATTTAGTTCAATGGTTCGAAAACCTTGTAACCACAGGCTCTTGCCAGTTCTCTGTGAAGTGTGCAACTTAATTTCAACCCACCTCCATCAGCTGCATGAACTGCAGAGATCATATCTGCACTGCAGTGGCTGAGGAGTACTTGGATGTTCTCTCCTCTGCTCTGGGCACAGGAGCACCAGCAGAGGTAAGGGGGCAGGTCGTTTAGGGGTGATAAATTCACACGCTACAGAAGAAGTTTTCCTAGAACGTAAATCTGATGGCCCTAAAAACAAAATATAACTTCACAGCCTTTCCTAGGCTAGTCCAAAGCTTAGAGAAAACTTGGTATGAATTTAAACGTGGCAAAAACTGTAAGAGTCATCACAAAGGCTAAAATATTTTAAAAGTCTTACCACTGAAACAGGTTCCATGGCTTCTTGCTTGATAGGGACCGGGTCAAACATTAGCATCTTTTTTATTCACCTGTTCTGATGCCTCTGATGTCCTGGCCTGCATGGGAAAGACAAGGTGTTAGAAAGCTGCAGGAAACGTTCTGATCAACTTTTTGCACTCTAAAGAACTTATTATTTTATCAGATTAATGTGAATATTTATCCATCTCTAACACAGCTTCTTAAATATTTGACTGGGCTTCATTTAAATATTTCAGTTATTGTAAATTTATTCTTTCCCAAACAAAGAGACATCTGCTCACTTTGTTGCAAGTTAATTTGAATTTTTATTGTGTATGTCAGCATGCCAAGATCACAGAGTTGTCACTTTCATTAGCTGTCACTAGTGTGTAAATATATCAGTATAGACTATGAGTTTCCTCATCAACGTTATAACTTCAGAATAATCTTGTTTAACTGATAATACAGTGAACTGATTCTGGAGAGGATATCTCTTGTCCTGACATAAAAGTTGAAACTTTCACATACATCGACATTGAAATCAATGCAAAAGAAAGATTAAAATCCAGGACTAATTTGGAAAGGTACATTCAACATGCTGCAATGACTTAACATAAAAAATACATCAGTTATTTCCCTGAGGTAACAGATTTAGTGACAATCAACAACAATTTGTGCTAACTTTGCAAAAGAAAAGCACTTCCAAAAATCTGGTTGTATTCCATGCAGCTTTAGTTGCTCTTTCTACAAAGTGTTCAACTTCACTTGTCCAATTCTAGCTTGTCTCAAACTGCCTGAAATAAAAGTATTTAGCATAAAGCATGTCATAACTTAACTATCATTTGCCACGGTCAACTGGGAAAGATGCTGTGAAGGAAAGGAGGAGATATCTCTTCCGGGGTAAGCCATAAAGGTACAGAATGAAAAGCAAAAGAAGCAAAGGAAAGTTGTTCTCAATGACATTTAGATGTTGGCAAACTTTTATAAATCACTTCAGGTTACACATTATATAAGTGATGTTAAAGAATCAAGTTCTGACCATACACTGTAGAGTGCACAGCCCTGCCTGGAAATGGTAATACCTCTATTAAGATGTGAGGACAAAAAAAACCCCAAACCAACAAAAAAACCCCACAAATTCAATTTCGACCAGTAGATGGCACTGGAAATAAACGAATACAGCCACACTACACCATCCAGAGAATTTCACCCTGAGGAAGTAGGCTAAAGGCTCAACAACAGATTTGTAGTTGGGGCTGGAAAATTCTCCCAGAAATTTAAATGAAAATTTTAAGATGTACCAGCTCAAATTAAAACAATTCTAATAAGCTTACACTAATGAACAGTCCTGCAATTAACTATCACGTGTGTTTATAGATAAAAATTTGTTAAGAGCTTCCAGAGAAAGTGGCATGAGTTGTTACAAGTCTATCATTAATTATTCAGGTCTATGAATAAAGTTCAAAAGCTTACGGAAATGTATTACAACAGTGTAAATTTTGCATAATGGAAACAAGCAAGTATCAAAAGTAAATTAAAGTAACTTCATAATTCTTCTTACATAAGTGAACGGCCTGACAACACTAGATCGCAAAAAAAAAGTGAAACAAATAGAGCAGCTCAATGTAATTTCCAGTTTAAACTTAACATGTAGTTTTATTTTAGAAGCAGTTGTTTAAAATGACACTATTTGCTGAAAGTTGTGATAATTCTGTAAATGTTTTAACTATGTCTGTGAGAAGGTTATTAACTATACTATTTTTCTTTGAATGGTTATCTTTTTCAGGTTTTAATACTTCACATAGCTAGAACTTATGTTTCAGAAGACTGTCTTCCCAGAAATATATCCACATATCTATGCATTAAATATATATATGTACCTATGCACCACTCACACAGGTTCCCACACATATATATGCATTGTGAAAAGAGGAAAAAAAAATACTTTTAGACACAAAAACCATCTACAGTAAAATGTAGCATCTCAGACCTCATATATAAGAATTTGGAACTACTTGCTTTCAGGTTACCAGAAACTTTCAATGTTTAATTTATATGTGCATAGATAACGTGACACACCAATTTGTACTTTACTGAAGGAAGGAAGGAAAGAGAAGGAAGGGAGGAACGAGAATAGAGAAAGAGAGCAAGAGGAGAGGGGGAGAGAGAAAGACAAGGACAGAGTTTGTTCTAAGGAGGCAGTCACGCTCTGAGGCTACTCTTTTTGTCATTTTTGTTGTTCTAAAATTGGAATATATTCAGTTTACTAGTTACTCCTTTTCATATTTTACTTTAAAAAAGTTTGTGAAAGACTCTTGATACACATTTCACTTGTCATGCTATACATTTGAGCGTTTCCTGAGAGGGCTCTAAACTACTGTGCAGACTGACACAGACAACAGAAAGTGTAATTCCCTGAATAGAAGTGTAAAGTAATTCCTTATCTTTCTCGGGTGTAGTCATCTAAGAACAACAGAGGAAAACGTTACTTTTATTGCTGCATCATAGTACAGAAATCGAGCACTTCTTTATCACATGTTACTGTTAAGTGGTAGGCTTCTTTCCCTCATTTGATAGTGACTGGAAACCAATTTTCAAGAAAATTAATTAATATACAACGCTTGGTCCTGTCGGTCTAGATCAGAGGGTCAGATTCTTATTTGGTGGAAACTGACAAAGCTGCTACAGACTCAATATAAACCAGCTTTGGGCCTGGCATTTAAAATTTAGCAGAAGAACACTTTCCTAAGGCTGCAAGTAAACTCACAAAATAATTCTCTTTGTATTTAAAAGTAATGCTTCACATTGACTGCTTGAACCACATTCACAAACAAAACGCATGCAACGCACACAATTAAAGCACGCTACTTCTAGTAGGAAGTCAGTAGTTTTTCCTGGTTTATTAGTAAATCATGCCTACTAAGTCAAAAACTCCCAATCTTTCTCTCCTAAACATTTGAGAAGGGGGCAATAGGGAAGGTAAACAGCCTTATCTGTTTCTATTACAGAGGAATGAAAAAACAGTTGGGTTCTACTTTACACACTGATTTCATAATGTACTTGTTTGAAAGCCCACAAATTGTTTAGTAAATACAACTAATTTCTGGAAAATCAAAATACCGCCTCTCATTCCTGAGGTACCCTAGAAAAAAGAGTGAGGAGACAACAATATATTCATATTAAGCGTATTAAAAAATAAGGGCCTTTGTCTTTCACGTTACTAGATAAACTATTTTGCATTAAAGGTTTTTTTTCATGTGGGTTAAAAGACTTTAAAACGCATGGAATCTGAAACGAAATAATTAACTACAATCCGGTAGGCAAACATTCCACCCTCTCCTTTTTTTTTTTGCTCTCCCTCTCTTTTTCTGCTAACAAGCCACCCGGTTTTACTTTCTTGCCTCCTCCCATTCACTCCACCCTGTGGATCTCTGCCAAGTCAGTCCAACTTGTCCAAACAGGACATGGCTTTTGATAAGATTTTGCTCACACCCTGCACTTCAGAAAGACAAATGAAGCAATTGGGTTTTGTATGCAAATAAGGACAGGTGCAAGGTAAAGTCCAGGCAAAGTCCCTCGGTATTTTCCTATCTGAAGTCCAGTGAAGACAGCAAGCCAGAAAAAACACAAACTCTGCCCTTATGATCCAATATGCAGCGAAGTATCCCTTCCAGAAGGGATGTTCATCATCGGTAGAGCTCATCGCCTTGTCAGGATTGAAGACTTCTCGATATTAACTTCCTGACAGGTATGGTTTACTGTTTCAGAGACATAATTAAGAGCAAATGAAAGCTTAAAGGTACTTAACGTGTATTCTGACAATAAGGACTTGTACAGATTATTTACCCTGGATGAAACGAGCAAAGCAGTTAAAGAATACACCCAGATTACACATCTGCACTGCAGAGCAGCTGGAGAAGAGCAACCGCATTACAGCTACCCCTGGCAGCTCCGTACATCTACCTTCAAGGTCCACCAACTCTGCAGACCTGTTATGAAAGGAAAGGGTGGGGTGGAGGGCCAGTTTTGAATGTGCACATCCAACAACTACAAAGCCTCCCTCTAACACAGAGCCTTTGCTCTCATTAAATACCTGGAGGAGCAATCGGTGACCTGACTCTCGTTGCAGACAGGGGGGTGGTGACCATGAATTCTGCCTCTCTTCACCCTGCATGAAAACATGCGAGGGGTTCGCGTTCTCAATCTCTGTGCCTGGGGGAAGCAAGGAATGCTGCCCCATGGTACAGTGAGGCTTTGTCTAGAAGCTTCAAGGTATGATTGTTATTGTTGCTATAATTAGAGAATAATGTAATGATATCTGCTAGATTAGCACTGCATGAGTGCCCTCAGCAAAGACGCTGCCGCTCTTGCAGCACTGTTGGTACCCAGCAGCCAACGTTAAGTCATGCGGCCAAAGCTCTTCAGTCCAAGCCCTTTGGGACTTAGGCTGTCGCTCTGAAACTGTGACTTCTGTGAGCCTCAAGTCAAACTTCCCCTGATACTAAGGAGAAGTGATAAGATCAGAAGACTCTCCACTGATGAAATCCAAAGGGTGGGGATGTTTTCTGAACCTGTGTGAGAGGTCTTCTTCAGTGGAACCTTGAAACAACAGAGCTTGACAGAGGAAAAGCAGTTTCTGAGAGCAGGATTCCCTGGAAAGGGTAGAAAAAGAGTTTTCCAGGGCTAGTAACAAGATGCGTTTGCACTTACTGTACCAGTAGCTCATGGAGACCTGAGTCAGCAAAAAAGTGTTTGTAAAGTTCCATTAACTTTAATGGGAAGTAAGCAAGCACATAGCTGCACTGGACCCCAAAATAGCAGCAGGCAAAGAAACTCTCCAGCTCAGCACAGCCGACAGACTCAGTCAAAGCGAGCAAGAGCAGGGGAAGGAGCAAAGGCCCAGAAACGGTACTGGGGGAAGGGACCGGAGCAGCCAGCACAAGAAGAACAGCAGGGGGGAAAAATCAAGAAGAACTAAAGCACGAAGAAAACGTTTCACTGATGGGCAGCCTTCTGTGTTTGTTTATTCACTGGATTTCCACTGGGAAACAGTAGTAACTGTTGAAAAAGTTAGGGTATTGTGTAAAAAGAAAATAGTACCCGGGCAAAAATTTTCTGCTGAAAGTTTTACTTGATAGGCATGAAGAAAAAGACTATTTCGATAGGATTCTGTTATTTAGTATTTCAGACTTTTTGCTTTTTATGGACTTGAAAATCTTTTACCTTCCTCCTTTCAGAACTGCAAACAGGCTGAAAAATCTGTTTTTTTGCACAACTTGTGCATCCTAACCCTGCTGACGTCACTTTGTTTGACCTAGAACTGCTTTGACATAATCACTTATCAGCTGTGTAGCAGACTAATCAGTATTTCCATTAAATTTACGATAATACCATTGCAGGCTCTTTGAAGCCACATGCCTGGAAATGGCTTTCTTGTATGGAAAAACTTTGGGCAGAGAAGTTCTTGCAGTGGTCATTACGGAAACACCTTCTCTACCAAGGAAAAACGGAGCCCACGTAAACCCTGTTCAACCTTCAGTTCTACATTTACTGAACCTGAGGGGGAGAGAGGAAAGCTCTTGGGGCACCTCCATTAGACAATACTCTCCCTTATCGGGGCAGACTGCTGTCTGGTTTCCTGTCTCAAGCTACTTCTTAGAAGGAGAAACAGTCTAGTAAGGATAAAAGATCAGACTTTTGAAAACAAGTGAAGTATGTGGAACGGCATGATAATCTTTTCCTTCCAAACGAACTTTATTTTTTTGTTGTGTTTTTCTTAAGAGGTTAATTTTGGAGATAATTTAAAAGGAGAAATATAAATCCTATCTTTTCATGACGAGGGAAGAATGACAGAAAATACTGTTCTCTTACGTAAAGGGTTCTGCTATTTCATGAGATAGATGAAGCAGAGATTCAATATTTTTGATAGTATGGGGAAGAAGAAAAAAAATCTAATCCTGAAGAAAGGAATTGTACATTTATAGCCTAAATGATCAATTTGAATGAGGATTTGAATACAGGGCAAACATCTATGAACTTCTATGCACGTACGGAAGTGGGGGGGAAAAAAAAACAGGGAGCAGAGCTGGATAGTGAAGTGGGTACAAATGAGACAGTGATCAAAGCAGCTTAGACTTTTTAAAAGTGGAAAGTCTGTCATGCCTTCATGGATCAAGTTAGTTGTTGGTAACACACACTGACTGCATCATAGGCAGACCACGCGTTTATTTTATTTTTTTTTCCATTCTGACTTAGTTTACTATTAAAAACCTGTAGAGCTTTATCTTTCCATTTGGCTGATCTACACTTACACTTCCTTCCCCTGGGAGATATCGACTACAGCGACAAAGCCCTCAAAGGAAGTCTCGGCATCAAGTGAATGCTTAACAGGGAAGGGTTAAATCTCTCCTAAAACCAGCTCTGCCAAACTTCATATTCTGGATTGGAAGCAACTACTCTCGGAATGAAAACACAAAGCTTCAATGCTGACAGCATAAAAGGAACTCTAAAAGACCTCCTGTTAGCAGTGTTAATTAATATTAAAAAGTTGGTTTACAAAACTATTATAATTTTAAACTCAGTCCCTGATTTTGCAGAACTTCTGGCTACTAAAAGGTGTGAACCACAAAACTTACTGCATTTATTACACACCAGTTTCCAATATGAAATGCAGTTAAATACAACACTTTTCCTCTGTCATGGCAAAAAAGATTAAATATGTTTGAAATCCTGTGCAAATTAACAGTACCAGAATTAAGATACTTGATCAGGTTCTAATGGATAAACTCATCCATGGTATTTTAAAATTAACAGAAAAACAACTAAGTAAACCCAACTGAGAGTAAGAAATTAAAATAATAAAGAAACAACTTACCAAAACTGTGTGGCCAAATACCTCTTGTTATCTGGATTTCTGAACAGACAAAAAACAAAAACAATCCAATGTAAGGATATGCACATAGTTCAGTAAAAATTATTTTTCACATACAATTAGCCCCGAAAGAGGAAGTTTAAAGCATGTATTTTGGATACTTCTTAAAAGATACCTGCAATGATCACAAACAGCTAACTTTTAGCATCCAAAAAAGCAACAGCAGGAACACAAAGATGACTTAAAAACGAGTGAAATAAAAAAAAAAAGGGGGTAAAATGAAGGGGTGGAAGTACTTCTGTGTGTACAGAAACCATGCATATTCCAGCCCATAAGTGACAGAGAAGAATAAACAAACACTCCATCTTGCATTTTTATCCAGGGCCTGATTCAAAGCCCATTGAAGTTAATACAAGTCTTTCTCTTGATTTCAATGAACTTTGGCTTGGGTCCTTTAGCTCTTCTATCAGATCCAAAGCAACAGAAAGATTTATGTTCTTTTTCTGAATTTCCTCTCGATGTTTCTCTATGTCTGCCTGTAACGGGGGGG